TTATCTTATTTGTGTATGGTTTAGGGCTAGTGGTTGATAATTGATTTCATTGAAGATTGAGAAAGATGCCAAATGATGGAGACATTTGTGTCAAAGGGGGGAAAAAACGAATCATAAAGTTTTAAAGGAATAAACTCAAAGTATGTCCAAAACTTTCTAACTTATCAATTTCTTAACTACCAATTAGCATAAAGCACATTACAACCCTAAGAATTAATATTTGGTGAGTTGTCTTCTCATCTCTGTTTTATTCTCTTATCACTACTCACTAGGATGATTCATCTAACTTATCCAATTAAACTTTTACATATTGATATAACAAATATCAAGTATAGGTCGAGGGTCTATCAAACAGTCTCTCTGTCCTATCGGGTAAGATAAGATCTGCGTATATACTATCCTCCTCAAACCCCATTTAATGAGATTTTACTAGGTCGTTATTGTTATTGTTGTTAAATATCAAGTATAGTATTTTCCCTTTTCTTTCTTTTTTTTTTCCTTTTGGGAGAGAGGGGATGGTGGTTTAAAATAATTGGTAACTAATTAAGAACATTAATGAAAAAGAAACTTAATTTTTTTGACGAGAAGCTAAGTACTTTGGTTTATATCCTAATCAAAAGAGTTTTTCTTTTATTCTTTTTTAGATTTATTGTTTTGTCGTCCAAACTTGTTATACGGTTTTATTGATCTCTTTTGTTTTAGAATCTAGACATGCATAATAAGAATATAGTTAGTGAAATAATTAATTAGAATTTTGTTGCATAGAGTATTCTTTTTAACATAAAATGCTATTGATGTTAGTTTAAAGGTCTAAACAAAACTAAAAATGCGAGTCTACATTTTTATGTGTTTTCTCCAAATGTCTCTTTATTAGGAGCAACCTTCTCCACTTGAAACTAACTTTATATGAATGTGAAATCAGTTGGTACATTTTGTAAAGTACCTCAACGAGAGATTTTTTGGTACGAATCCGAATTTAATCGGGCTCCAATATAGGTATCGGATACCAATTGGGAAATCAAAAAAAAGAAAATGAGGTAAGTTGAGGACCCCTACTTTTTGTTATGGTCTACATTTCATAAAGCAATTAATTACATGAAAGGTTTACGAGATGATCGAGATTCTCACGTTAAACTAAAAATTTAGAATTTGAGCCTGAGAATAAATAAAAAAATTGTTTTCAGTGCAAGTCCAAATTAATTTTGTCGGCGAATTTTATATACCGAATGATTAGAAAAATAAAAAGTAATTAAATAGAAATACGAAAAAACTATTACCATCCCAAATCTTTTTTCATGATCATGGTTGTTGTGTTGTAATGTAGACAACTAACAACTCATTCAAACTCATATAAAGTGTTAGCTTTATGCAACAAACTTGAAAATTCTCCTAAAGGCAGAATTATTATAAGTTATAACCTTTTTTCCTCTTGTAACAACAACAAACGGAATAAAAAGTGGAACTTTCCAACCAAAAAAAAAGATAGAAAAAGAGAGGAAAACAGAATATTCTATAAGATAAAGAAGATTATAATTTCATGGGAGTTTCAAGAATTTAGTTTCATTCCCTATCTTTTATCCTTTCAGTACCTTTTCCCCTTTATTTATGGTAGGATATTTTGGGAAGCTATATATGTTTATTATTATTATTATTATTATTATTATTATTATTATTATTATTATTATTATTATTATTATTATTATTATTATTTTGGTACAGGTTCTGTTAAACCTAATAGCTAGAGTTAGTGTTTGATTTTTAGGAACTTAAGAGATTAAAACAGTTTTAAAATATAATTAAAGAATTATTCTAAATCTATCTTAAATATAAGAGATTATTTTTTTCATTTTCTCTAAAAAACACAAATTGATACATCACAATTCACATGTTACACATATCTATTTATTTCACATCAAATCAAAACTTGTAGTTATCCATGTTCTGCTGTCGATTCAACTGTTAATAATCAATTTATGAATCAACTTATAAACTTTCCAATGATTCTACGCCAAAGAAAACCATTTTCTCAATGAGAGGTAAGGGCTCGTTTGGTACGAGAGATAATGGATAATTAATCTCGAAACTAAATTTGAGATGAATTTTTTTCATGTTTGGTCTGGATAAAATCATAGTATAACTATTAATTCTGTGATTAGTTATCCCGGTATTATAGTATTTTTTTTATCCTCATGTGAGGGTGGGATCAGAGGCGGACCCAGGATTCAGTGATCGCGGGAGCACCATGACATTTAATATAAATTTATCACTGTTCATAGAAATTGATACGAGGGCCTAGGCTAATATTTGACTATTTCTTGAAGACATTTACATGTATATATAAATTTTTTGCGGAAATTACCAAATGCCGGTGACCCCTCTTGTTAAGGTGTGCATCCGCCTCTGAGTAAAATAATTAATCTTAGGATAAATAATATCAGAATAATTAATGAGAAGATAACTTATTTCCTTGCCAAACAATCCCTGAACCTAAACCAACAACAGCACATGGGATAGCAAGCCACTAGAATGGAAAACTATAGCCATGCAAATGGACAAATTCAACTCTAGTTTTCAAGATTGATCAATGAATGATAGCCACCTAATTAATATTGAAACTTCAAAAGTTTATTGTAGCTTTTGGGACCCTTTATTTCTTGGAATTTAATGGGACAAGTGGATCCTATAGTTTGTAAAACCAAGGTTGATCTCATCTTTCCACTTTGTACTTCTCATTTGTGACAAACTCTGACATCAAAATCTTCATGGTAAAAGAATTTTTAGAACCTTCTAGCTTCTTCATTTCTTTTCCAAAAAAATTCACTTAAAAATGTCTCTTTCATAATGATAATACGTAAGTTAGTTTACGCGTATCTCAACTAATTTATTAAATAGTATTTGTTGTTTCTCGCTATCACAAATTCTATCAACTAAATTTAAGCACATGAAAAACTAAACAAACCAAGGCAATTGATTTCTTGCTAAGTCCTTCATGATAAAATTTGTCATTAAATTGTCAAAAATGAGAGAAAGTTTGTTACTCTTTCTGGTTTTTCATTCGGTGTCCGATATTCATATTAGGGTCCGATTAATTTCGAATTCCCTAATAAAGGCGACCACGATGAAATGGATAGTAAAAAGAGGCTTTAGAGATTGAGATAGTTGTAGTTAGTAATTTACACAAAATCCCCAATACTGTTTCGTGTCAAAAACAACGAATTAATTACGTGTCAAACCCAATAGATAGTGGTCTGTCCATATTGTAATAAGATCATTATCTTGTTTAGTTATTTGTTTTCTCCTCCAAATTCACCACCTCCCCTTAATTTAGCTATTTATCAAGAACCAAGTGCAAAGTCTACGTGTCATTTATGTTGCTGCAATGAGAAAGAATGTTGATCAATACTAATAACTCAAGGGTGTTATCTAACCGTTAATAAAAATGGGTGTAAGCCATAAAAGATTAGAATTCATACAAAAAATACTGTAAATTATTTCTTCTCATTCGTCTAAACTTTAAACTTTAAGACGTAATGATAATCGGGTACATGTACGTACAAAAATAATTAGTAACTCATAACATAATTTAGGTGTGTAAAATAAGGATTGACTATATTGCTCACTCTCCAAAAATGTTATTATATCCGTAGCAGATTCTTAAAAGAGTCCGCTACTTTTAAAAGACGGTATAGGCTTGATACTGAACACATACCCCCTTCTTATAGATGAGCTCAATGACATAAATAAAAGAAAGATGTCGAAAGAAAATCTTAGCCCTTAAGCGCGTTGTGAAAAGAAATCGAAGATGAAGATTCTCTGACAAAGAATGCAGAGGCACTGAATGGAAAAGACATACTCCATAAAGGAACAACTCACCGAAAGAGCATACCATAAAGGACACCAATCGCCTCCGGCAAAGATATATCTGCGCGAAGACAACCCATAAATACAAAGAATAATAGAGGAAAGGATGATATATACCTAGCAATATTTTCAAGAGTCCGAGCAACATATAAGTGACCGACATATCCTTATTTGTGGAAAGAAAAAAACAAAATCTTGAAGCTGACCTTGCCACGATTTTACGCGATGACAATTGCGTAGGACAGCCTAACTAACCAAACAGTGGACCCTAGAAGAAGCCAAAAGAAAGACTTTTCTAATCAGTGCACTTTGGAAATTGCATAACGGTAGAAAACGTGGAAAAGTCATGAATTTTGTAGATCTTGCTAATAGGTAAAGTTAATACTATGTCATAAGGAGGTCATGGATACGACCCGTGAAAATAAACTTTTGCAGAAATGTAGAGTAAGATTGCATACGATAAATCTTTGTGGTCCGGTCCTTCTCTGGACCCCATACATAATAAGAGCTAAGAGGTCGTTTGGTAGGGTGTATAAGAATAATGCGGAATAAAGTATATTAGTAATGCAGTAATTAGTAGTGCATGTGTTAGTAATGCAAACCAGATAATATTTTTTATCAACTGTTTGGTGTGGTGTATTAAAATTATAATGCATTGCATAATTTCTAACAAAAATAATTACTTACAAAAATGCTCTCCATGCTCTCTAGCTTTATGGAAGTTTAAGGACAATTTTGTCTTTAACCATACTAATGCATGCATTAATAGCCTTGGTATTACTAATGTCATGGTTTTCTATGCATTACTTATACGTAGGATATTACCAAGTATGATGTATATACCATTTGAAAAAATATACTAAACAAAATATTAGTAATGCACAAAGCTAATACTTGTATTATTTTTTCTAATACCTTCTACCAAACGCCCCCTAAGTGTATTGGGCTGCACTTTTTGTACATTATCAGCAGCCCTATCATTTAAATTCTTCATTGACATTGAGGAGTCCATACCACTATGCTATCTCTTCTGATTGAAACCCATAACTCTTTTTTCTTTATTTTATTTAATTCTCCCATAAGGATATGATATTCATCACAAGAAAAAAGGTACATGGAAAGATAAAGGAAAAAAAATAGAAGATAAATATGAGCAGATGATAATATGTCTCTTGAAAAGGCTTGATAATTAATTTTACCAAAAAAAAAAGTGGAAGAAAATTAATAAGGTTATTAGAAGTATGAGACACGAGAATATCAAGATATAACAGCTAAGCACCAACCTATTAATTATAAAATTAGAATATTCATAGCCACTAAATTTTTGGTCTTTGAAATCTGCTGTTTCATCTCTTCTTCTTCCTCTTATTCGTCTCCTTTTACTCATAGAATTTGATTCTGTCCTCTTGCTATTCAGAATTTTACCAAAAGGAAAGCAATCCCAAGAAAAATCCACCGATCAAAAGTGAAAATCCACTAGAAAAGCTCCTTTTTGCACCACCAAAATCATGGTCAACAGGGTATAGATTCCCTGGTGGACCAGTCATGTATATATATTGTGAATTTGGTGTATCGGGAACATAACCACCACCACTACCACCGCCACCACCACTTCCACCGCCACCGTAAGGAGGAGGAGGGCAGTAGGCACTTGGTGGTTTCTTTGGCGGCGGTGGTGATGGTGGTGGAAGAGCTGGTGGAGGTGGTGGTGGAGATGGTGGAACACAAGGCTTGTTACAAGGACAACCTCCACACTTATTTTCATCTACCTCATCAAGTTTTCTTGGATTTAATCCATTGCTTATTGGTACAGCAATCAAAAATAAGAGAAAAATCACGACCCGAAACATTTTCACAACCTTGTTACTAATATCTTATGAATTCTTGATAGAAGTGTGAATGTCTTCTTTTTTCTTAGAAGAAAGAATGGGGTTTTATGAGTGTATGTGACGAATATTATGTTAGGTATGGTGAATTTGTAGTAGAATAGATCAAGTGAGAAATGAAAGGAAAAAGAAAGGAAAGTCTTTTGGGAAAGAGAGAGTTTGTTACACTTCTTGAGAATGCATGGAAATTTTAAGAGAGGAATTTAAGGGTTGTTGATTATGAGGTGTCTCTTTTATGTATGGTGTATTGGCTTAATCTAGAAGGCAATTACAAATGCATGTGGATGGTCCATTTTTTGTCCCCACCATTGGACTCTTTTTCTATTTTTTAATCTTTTTGGAGTTGATAAGTTTTTATCTTCTTGAGCCGAGGGTCTTTCGAAAACAGTCCCTTTACTCCTTCGGGATAGGGGTAAGACCTGCGTACACACTACCCTCCCCAGACCCCACTAGTGAAATTTTACTGGGTCGTTGTTGTTATTGTTGTATACAAATAGTCGGTCTATATTTTATCTATATTTTTAGCTAATATACATAGATTATATACGATTATACATATATTATATATATATCTTACACAACCACCAATTATTTTTAGCTAATTGTAATTGGCTTTCAATAATTGTATCCTTTTTGGTATTTAATACTCTGGACTAGTATCTTGTGTGTGGAAAAGTGGCAATCCTAATTCTTGAACATGGCAATAAAAATTTAAACTTCTCCGGTCCACAATAAGTGACCAATTTGCTTTTGACATGCCCATTAAGAAAATATTAAATTCTATACAAAAATATCTAATATGACTAAACTATCCTTAATTAAATATTTAATGCTAGGGGTAAGAAAACTTTTTAGGAATATGTACATAAGGGTAATTTTGTAAAAACAAATTAAATTCTTTCTTGATTATATAAATAGACACTTATTTTGGACCAAAATAAAAAAATAAATTAATCACTTATTGTGAACAAGAGAGAGTAGTGTTTTGATTAGTTGAATTTGAGTATAATTGGGGACTTGGATTTATTATTTTTGGATTTTGGAAGTCAAAGTTAAGGCTATAATATGCTTTGGTGCATGTGGAACTTTCCTTTTCTCCATTCCTACTCAAAAGTAGAAAATTCTTGTAATATAAAGGGAATATTATTTAATCTCCTTTTGCTTATTTATAAAAAGATTGGAATCAGGAAATCAATCATAAATATTCTTATA